CCCTCCTCAATCTCTAAATCTCCAAATCCCTAATCCCTTAAAGGTCGGCAACGCACTCGTAACTCCTCCGTTGCGAGTGTCCATGGGCGGCGCTGATTGCTTACCATCAGGTAATCCGTCTGCTCGTTTGCCGACCTATTACATAAAAAAAACAATTATCACCGGCCACGGAAAATCAAATCTCTCGTTAATAGGCATGATCATTAACAGCTCATTCTCATTAGAGGAATTTGACATAATCTTCACGCATGACAGAAAGAATTAAAATTCTCATAGATTTAAGACCCCAACGAGAAGACCAAGGGTATGAAATCAACTGTTTACCAATAACGAAGAATAAAAAGGCATGCCAATCTCTTTATAATCCAATCTTACGATCTTAGATACTACATCAGCCGGGGTTGTAAGTTAAGCGCAATGAGTCACCGCGGCCTCGGCCCAGAGCAGGAGAAGGAACGGGGGGGGGGGGGGGGGGTTAGTCAGTAAGAGTCTGACACTCTCTCTTGCCTTAGCCTGGGCGGTAGAAGTCATTTTTATGATGTTCCCCTGACAAAAACGATACAACATCAAGCGCAAAATAACAACATTACATGCTATCTATAACGACGTTACGCAACTTTTATTACAAATCTCCGATCCACAATCAATACAATTACTACAATTTTATAACATTTCAACAGACGCCATTACTAAATAACGCATAAAACTCATAAATAGAACGCAACGTGTTCTATTTTCAAATTAAATTCGGTATTACATGTAGTTACCGATTTTGAATTTCGAACACAATAGCGCATTCATCGATCGGCCGTCGTACGAAGCGGACGTGTTATGTTTGTAATTAAATTGAAATGCAGTTGTAAAGAGTTAATTAACATTAATGGATGTAATATATTTTATCATTATGTCGTAATAGTGTGCGGGGATGATTATATTGTGAGCTAATTGATGGATTATTTGTTATTGTTTATTATATTGCTGGTTCGATAATGGCACAGACGTTATGTAAGGATTAATGAATAATTATAAAAGCAACAATAACTGGAGTTTTACTGTAAAGACTTGGCTACTGGCACCTTTGGAGAGTTAGAATTAAGACCAACCAAAATCAATAACTAATCTATATATAAAAATGAATCGCAAAATATGTTGGTAAGCGCATAATTCAATAACGCTTGGACCAATTCTACTGATTCTTTTTTTGAACAATAGGTGCTCGAACGCCGGCGTTCGCTTGGGATTTTGTGTATTATTTACAAAACAGCAATGGGCGACGCTCTCGTGTTCCGCTAGAATGAAGAGTAATAAGAAAAACACACACCGACACTCATTAACCTTTTCACCGCCACGCCATATCGGTATTCCTATGCCCTGTACGCCAAGCCCGAAAATCTTAATTAAATACCTACAAAAAAATAGGGATTTCAACATTATATCGATACCCATTATTATTATTTTTTTTATCAATACTTGCCAGATAAATGGTCGATCATTAATATGTTAAAAAGAACATTCCAATATTAAATATTTTACAACGTTCCACTCAAGTAGTTCCGAAGTTGTTAATAACATAAAAACAATGATTAAGACACACAACAGTTAAAATGAAAATAACTCTAGGTACAGCACTATTCTCAGTACTGATGTACTTCACTGTCGGGAATAGCCGACATTGGCGCCGTCGACGAGTCTTTTATAAGACATCGTTGCATGTACATTAGAGTTGTACCATAGTGTCATACAGTTTATCGATGTTAGTATCTAATTAAATTCAAAGGCCACAGTAGTTTGTTTTTATTATTCTTGAAATTTACACTTATTGCAACAATTTGGGTTGTTAATGGATTGAATGCAAATAAAACTATTTATTTACCAATCATTTAGTTTAATTATTGAGTTATATTATTAATAATTACTTTGAGATCATATTACTTACATGTCACTTATGAATAATATTATCACGTGATATTATTACATAGCAACAATTTTTATAACAGGAACTTTCTAATATTCTCACTAATCAGATTAATTATATGTATAAAATAAATCAAAATTTTCGTATGAAATTGCGTAGTATATACGTAACGATTTTTAAGTATAACGATAAGGGAATATCGAAAATGTATTTACGCAACTATGTTTCAGTTTTTAATAAAGTAAAACTACTTTTTTCTCAGTGCTTACAATCGTTTATATTTTGTTAGAACAATAAAAACTGTAATGTCAAATATTACAATACCTTAAGTTACCTAAATTAATTTAAGAATATAATATACGTCAACATGATACTACATCACTAGCAGTCGGCTCTGCACGACATTGGCGTCATGGGACTTACTTTTTTAACCATAAATTATTTTACTTTTTATCATCAAATATTTAAATGAGGAATATGCATTTTTGTTTACTGTATGCAACTAAATAATGTTTAGACATTCAGCTTTCAAGGTGTATCAATAAAATACATAAAAGTAATGATTTAATAGGTTTATTTTGTATTTTTCTGCGACCTGTTTTTTGTCGAGTATAGCCGTCGTTGGCGCACAGGGCACGCTTACTCATGTCGGCTATAGCCGACATTGGCGTTCAAAAGGTTAAAAAAAATACTCCACTCATTCCCACTACAGTTAAACACGAGCCAGACATCAGAATATTCAGAATTCAAACACTTCCCGCTAATTGCATCACACGACAACACTAGAAACAGCAAATCAACATACACTCAAACATTACAAATGGATTTTTAACTCAATACCTATAGCGTTAAAGTTCAAAATCCTTTTGCCAGATAGGTGTAGGGCACAGCACATTAAAATACTACAGCTTGTTTAAGGAGTTACGACTTTATCTACAATTAAATAAGAATGAAAATCCTATTAATAGATAGGTATAGGTTGACGTGCAACCAATGTTAGTTGTACTAATATTATTTCAACCCCTATACAATATACCCATCTGTGAAAGAACTTTATTACAAAGACGTAAGGTTGAAAATTCTTTAGACAGATGACCTGACTTGATGACGTCTCAACGACCAATTTTTCGTTCGTTGCACTAATATTTATGAGTCCTACCCTTGCAGTCTGAGCTCTACCGATCTGCCATAGAAATTTCAACTTTATTACTAGGAAATAAGATAAAAAATCCTATGGACAAATCGTTACATGTTGACTTCGGTACATGTAACCTCAAATATTATTCAGCTACCCTCACAATTTCATATCATATTTATAAACTGCTATCTGTTTAATGGAATTTAAACTCTATACCAACGGCATAAAGTTTAAATTGCAGTCAGCATGACAGTGTAGGTTGATGTACAGCCTACGTACCTTGGTGTAATGGAATTTCGACTCTGTACTAAGGGAATAAATTTTAAAATGCGTGTGTAATGAGATTCCTACCCCTCGCCCTTGGGGCTGCAATAAAAACTCGACTCTTCCGAGCTTCGTTACGGGCTAAGGGGGAGACGGCAAAGATTATAGTCGGTGCAGACGTGACATGCTTTTAGAAGAGGTCATTTGTAGGTAAAATAATAACCAGGAGGAACCTAAAACACCATTCAAATAAAACATTTTAAAGAACCTAGTACCTACTTCTACACATAACCACATAACTCTTTTTTAATTTTTGTAAGGAGAAGAGGTAAGGTCTCAGAAAAGTATAGACAAAAATTGAAAAATAGCAACACTTTCTATTCCGTGGCGTTTTGATGACAAAACAATTAATGACTAACACAGAAGTACTTAGGCACTAGACAACAATTATAATTGCGAAAGTAACTGTCTGTCTGTCTTTTCTTCACGCCTAAACTACTGAACTGATTTCTGTGAAACTTGGTACAGACATAGTTTGGAACCCGAGAAAGGACATAGGCTAGTTTTTATACCAAAAGTGCAGGAAATCACTATTACACGCGAACGAGTCGCGGGCAAAAGCTAGTTGTTTCAATAAAACTACCGTCGTTTACTGCACGCTATTTTAACTAAACATTACTTTAACTGTAATAATAAAAAGTTAAAACAAAGTTTTCTCTTTTTCAAATTATTCATAAAATTCAACCTCTCCATTCCAGACCACCCTCTACCATACACAAGAAAACCTCTCCCTATCTCCGACATTAACATAAATAACATTGCTACCAGCAATTTAAAACCTCGCAAGATGTTCGTGCGGCTAGGCATTAAAGCAGGCGCGTGGCAGTCGCGTCTACTTCTATTAAATGGTTGGTGCTGTGTCGGGTCGACGCCGACCTGTCGCAATCAATATAATGTTTACTGCGGTGTATAGACTTTTGTCGCGGCCGCGGCACACTACTTTTTAAACTATGTCTGCACCAAATCTATACTAATATACACCCAAGCGGTGTCACCTGCTGCTTGCGAAGCTTGATACTTTAGGTATAGATTTATAGTTCCAAAAATATTATGAGTAAAGATGAGTAACTTAACTAGTTTTAGTTCATGACTTCTCTTGTGTAAATAAGAAAGAAATACATGACATGTTTTCATAAATTCCTGTATCATAGTCTATACTTTTATCTATACTAATATTATAAAGAAGTAAAATTTTTAAGTTTGTAAGTTTGTATGTAGGGGGTAAACCTTGGAACCGCTGGTCGGATTGCCAAAATTCTTTCACTGATAGACACAGCTACAACATTTCTAAGTGCTATAGGCTATAAAACATCACGCAGCGGGTAAAAAGCTAGTTTCACATAAATCGGTTCAGTAGTTTAGGCGTGAAGAAAAGACAGACAGACCAACAGACAGAGTTACTTTCGCATTTATAATATTACTTTGGATTGTGTTGGTCCGTCATAAAAATTAAGCTTCAGACTAGCTGTGCATACACAGATGTTTTTATCACCAATCAAAACGTCCTTTACAAATGTAACATGCTTTCTTCAAAGCTACAAATGAAATAAAACAATGGCGCTACCATAACGCTGCCTATTTATAGAACTTTGAGTAGACAATAAAGCTATAAGCTGTACTTACTTAATAAACCTTTACGAGTTGCACCACTGCACTCTGCTTGGAGTCATGCACGACTCTGGAACAATACAAAAATAGCACATCAGTTATTTTGACATACAAACTAACAAAAAGGATAGTAGTAGTAAAAGGAAGTCGTTAATATAACAATAACTCTTTTCTTGTCAGGGGAAAATCATCCAATGACTTCTCCCGCCCAGGGTAAGGCGAGAGAGTGTCAGACTTTTACCGACTAAAAACCCCCCTGTTTCTTCTCCTGCTCTGGGCCGAGGCCGCGGTGCCTCATTGCGCTTACCCCGCAACCCCGGCTGACCATCAGCCCTATTGGGCCCCGTCTGTAGTGGTCTATTGACTCTTTGAGGCGCGCACGGAACGCTACGCGCCGTACGCTCTGGTCTGGTTCTGGTCGGGCGGCGAGCTGCCGTTACTCGCCGTCCGCAGACCCGCGATAACAATAACCCTAACTGGCAGATTTGGCGCAAAAATATTAAATACCAATCAAGCCACATCCATCAGGAGAAATCATCGAATGTGTCAAACAGTTCAGCTAGTAAGTGTCAGAAAAAATAAGCCCGTTCCTTCTCTTCGATTGAGCTTTACCCACAAAATTCCTCAAAACACTAAACTAAAAATAAAACAACATTAGCAAAATGAGTACCTACATTGAAAGCCCACTTTCTACTATCTACAAGACGGGATGAATCACGCGCACGCGCACAACATGACAACAGCTTACAATTGTTCACAATTAGCAAAACAATTAATTAGAAGTGTTGGGGATACAAGGAAATGTGGGCGTTTGTAAGCAAACACAGTGTTCTGAGGAAACTAACAATACTTTCTTTGGAAAGATGACACATTGTATTATAGATTGCGTGAGGTAAGCGTTTAATTTTGTTTACGTAAAGAAACATTAGGGTTGTTTATGTCGTAGGTCGGCAAACGAGCAGACGGATTACCTGATGGTACGCAATAAGCACCGCCTATTTTTTTTTGTCAGGGGAAAATCATCAAATATATTCTCCCGCCCAGGGTACCTAAGGCAAGAGAGAGTGTCAGACTCTTACTGACTGAAAACCCCTTGTTCCTTCTCCTGCTCTCGGCCGAGGTCGCGGTGCCTCGTTGCGCTTACCCCGCAGCCCCGGCTAAACATCAGCCATTTAGGGCTCTGTAGTGGTGTATTGGATCTTTAAGGTGCGCGAGGAACCCTTACTCGCCGTTCGCAGATCCGCACAAGCGCCGCCCATGAACACCATAATGGAGGATAGGGCTTCTGGAGGTTTGGGTTTGGGAGTTTTAGGGATCTGGGGGAGGCAGTTTTCTATGAGGTATCACTCCGATCTAGCTGATCCATGCGTGCTGAAGCGTGGCTCTCCCACACTTAGACTTGTTGAGATGACACTTTGTAGTTTCTGTCTAGCGAAATAATTACTTCTCATTAATACTGGAATACTTTATACATGTAAATAAAATGGCAAACTCCGCCAGCAAAACAATCAACAAATCACCCCACCTGCAAATCTTAGTGTCAAGACGTATTTAGGTAAACTTTCAGCGAATCCATGAACTCAATTATCCAAAGTTAACGAGCTGGACTGCTATAAATATGTAGGTAACCTGTTTACTAAATAAATATCTTTACTCCATTTCAAACTGTTTTTCTGCACGAATTCCTACCATATTTCACCTTCCTACAATTACAGCTGATATAACATCATCACCAGATGCCGTCTGTAACGGTGTAACGTATACTAAAGATGTGTAATGTTGTAACGTAAGCTATGTTTGTATTTAGTACGTACTTAAATATATAAGCAATGTGCAGTCTGTCCGAACACTCTCTGTAAAATTGTCGTGTGCTAAGAGACAATACATAAGTTAGTCGTCGCCAGTCTTTTATTGTGTCTACACCCTTCGTCACCCATCAAACGTCCAATGAACAAGAACTCTATCTTCTCTGCATCCTACGACTGGCAGCGAGAGCATATCTTCAAACCCAATTATATCTCTCTGCGTCTCTCTGTTTTTTCTTCTCCTCAAATAATATCTTCATATTGATTCTGTAGAGATCCCTGACAGTCATTTGGAACGCACCGTTTCGGTGTTTTCATGGTTGTATCTACTACAGCTTCTGGCTTATGGGAGTTGCAGCAGCGATTTATTATGATATTATTTTTTTAAAACGGTGCCTTGCACAAGTTTTTTCTTGTAAGGGCGTTTCCAAACATGCAATATCACATACACATGACACCCAGATCCTGAACAACAACTTGTGGACGACACAAAGAGTTGTTCCGTACAGGAATCAACCCCGCGACACATTGCGCGGCAGCTAATTGCCCAGACACTGCGTCAACCGTTCAGTCGTTGGTTTCGGGAGGCTGTGTCCAAAAAATACATCTACCTATCAACTGAATATGAGAGAATTTGTCAATACCACCGAAACAGATAACTGATCCAATGCACATTGATACAATGAATTCAAAGAAGCGCATCTTCAAAAGCTGGATAACAATCGTAGGCGCAGCCGGGGCCGACAATGGCCGATTGTTGCCGAACTGTGCCGATCGCGTCACGGCCCGATGGCAGTGACGTCACACGACATTTAGAGCAGAACGGATGAGTAAAAAGCTCATAATGATTATGAGTCATTTCAGTCAGTTTTTTATTCGCGAACCTTGGAAATGAGCACAAATGAGTTTTGTATGTTGATTCGATACGTTGTTGTATTTACATAGGCTCGCTGTGTACCCTGCGGGCGACTGACCTCTGCTGCTACTCCATTTACTTGGCTTAACAATAGGAGATTTACATTCGCGAGCATTTTTGAAACTCCACGTTTATTTCGCGTATGGGCTTTCTTATGTGTGACGGAACTGGTTCAAAACCTGGCAAGTACCAATGAGACTTTTTCCGAGTTACATATACTTTCTATGATTATTTAGACACCACTGACAGACGGTGAAGGTAAACATCGTGAGGAAACCTAGACTTATAATTTCTGATTATAAGTTTGAAATCGACAATCCGTCTTGAGCAAGCGAGGTGATTAATGCTCAAACGTTTTCCGTGTGAGAAGAGGCCTTTGCTCAGCAGTGGGGACTTATAGGCTGATGATGATGACATTGGTGGATGATTAAGAAATTTGAGAATTGATTTACCCAAAAAAATCCTTCAATAGAAAATTGGCACATTATATGTATATTTTCCGCGTAAAAAATGTGTCTAAATATATGTTGCTTCGGTTCATATAGATTTGTGAATGAAACATACTCTGTTGGGCTTCTATCCACCAGAGCGTTAAACTACTGTTCTGTGTGTATGACGATGATTTATATTTTGTTTTGGACGGGTAAAAGTGATACTTTTACACACATCGCGTTTTTGAATATCTGTCTGAAGATAGAGTAACGAAACCGCTATTTTATGATGCTAAAAACGTCAGAAATCTATCTAGGAAATATTTTTAGCAATGCACCAGGTTCCTTTGTGATACGAAAACCATCAGACGGATAACCTGATGGTAAGCAATCGGCGCCGCCTAAGGACACTTCTAATGTTGATGAAGTAACTACAAGTGCGTCGACAACTTTTTGCGGGTTATTAGCAATTTAAGGTTAGGTTTCGGGATTTTGGATGGGGGGAAAGGATTGGGCAGACTGGAGTCAAGAAGAACTCTTCTTTTAGGCCCCTACAGTACAGTACAGTCTCGGAAACCATGTAGGGTCTATCAAAACACTACTTAACACACATTAGTTATTTTTGCGATCCATCGATCTCCTACACTAAAAATTATGTACAAGAAGCAGCTAAATCATTTAGGAACGACCTTGACCTAATCCTGAAGTCTTTAATGAAGTCAAAAACAGACCAAAGACCCAGAGATTTTCGAGTAATATCAGTGATTAACTGATAAAACATATTTTGCTCAAGCTCCACAACCTTCACCAAAATATCACTAAAACTCTATAAGATAGCACATGAGGCTGCTAAACTTAAACGACCTTGAAGTACACCATGTGGACAGATTATCTAAATTCATCAAACAAGTGTAGTAGAGCCATGCTTCACAACGAATGAGCCGGCTCGACCGGAGTGATACCACGGCCTTACAGAAAACCGGCGTGACACAACCACAGCGTTGTGTTTCGCCGTGCGAGTGAGGTTACCAGAGTCTCAATCTTTCCCCTCCCCCAAACCCTATCCTCTAGTCCCCTATCCCTCGGCAACGCACTGATTACTCCTCCGTTGCGAGTGTCTATAGACAGCGCTGATTGTTCTTAACATCAGGTAATCCGTCTGCTCGTTTGCCGACCTATTACACAACAACCCCAAGCGAACGCCAGCGTTCGCGACGCTATTGTTTCGCGAATCACCATGATAGAAACTTTAGAAGACTTTTGGTCAACTTATCCCTGTCTATCCACCTTCTCAGTTCCTCTACAGCAGTAGCTACTAAACCATATAGGGACGACCTTGGCGTTTATTAGTTCTATTTCTGACTGTTTTCGGCATGAGTCTATACCGTGTGATATGAACTACTCGTAACATTAAATCATCTCTCTAAATTGCCGGATGAACTTTTAACTCTGTATATTCGAGTTATTGGAGTCGCTTATACAATACTTGTAGGGAAACCCTATATGTGAAATAGCATATTGTAGATCGCAGGTATACGCAAGTAAATGAATGGTCTCCTGACAGTCTTGAAAACCTAGAAATGCACTTCTCTGGTGATGCTGATTTTTTATGTCATAATGAAACAATGAATTTATTTTTGCAAATAGGCCATAAAACGGCACTTTTACACGTCAATTTATATGTGAAAAACTAGATGAAGCCGGCACTTCCTATCTGACTACTCTTAGAAGAAATGCCGAAACAAACTCAGATGTCAGTCTTTTTTCAAGTCCAGACAATGTATAAATAACATAAGTTGGCAAACTGACAGACGGATTACCTGATGGTAAGCAATCAGTGCAGCCAAAGGACACCCGCAACGAAGGAGATACGAGAGTGTTGCCGAAATTTTAGGGATTAGGAATTTGGATATTTTGG